TACTCCCAATTTTCTTTTCCTAAAAGACTAAGAATTGCTTGTTTTGGTGTTTACAGAGACACCAAATATTACCTGGAATTCACTTCGGCAGGTTAATTTATCTTCTCAGCAATCTTTAGTAAGTTCAAATATGCTCTGCAAACAAAATGCAAGTCCATGTAAAAAGAGCAGTGCACGCCTTGTCCAGGTGAAATAAGACAGCGTTGAAATTACACCTTTTCATAGCTATAATTACATATTGGTCATAAAATTAAAAGAGCAAGCACCACTCTTCAGCTTGCTACCTTTATTGCTCCGATTTCATCTATCTTTGAGCTCTTGTGCTGCAAAATTTCAGGTGTCATATATACGATTTAGAGAAGAAATAAGCAACTGTGGCAGGTAACTATGATAGCACTCACATCACTGATAAGAAACCTTAAACACAACAAAAAAATTCTAATGATGACTGACGTAACAGTTGACTACTCTTTTTACCTTACTTTTCTTGTGTTTATGAATGTCATTGCCATCTCCATCTCCATCATGCTTTCTCTTCTGAATACAGATATTGAGAAATACATTTTGATTTAAAGGTCAATCCACAATGTCATCATAAGAAAATAGTTTATGTCAACATATCAGGAAGTAAAGGAAACGTTTCAGTGAACCGAATAAGCAACAACTAAAACTTTCAATTTCCAGTCATTCTATCTTAGCGTTTGGGGTTCTCTTTTTACCTACACAGCCACCTGAGAGTGTTATCCTCCTCATTAAAATGGTGCATTCAGTACAGATGACTAATACGCAGCCAAGATTTTCCCACATAATAATAGGCTCAGTTTAGACTAATCTTGGAAGGTTGGGGTCAAGTTACAACTTCAAAGAAGTATACTGATGTAAAAGTAGTTCTTTCTGTATTCTTATGAAAATATCCTGTGCAAGACCGATTAGAATTCTTTCGGATAATAGAATTGTTTTAGGAGGGACATGTATTGAGACAGTCGTATGTCTGGTTCTATTAATGGGGAAATAGAAGCGGCATATTAAAATTAAACGGAAAATTGCAATAATTTCCAGACCTTCTCATGATGTCTTTTTGAGTGGTCATATCCAGAATCATTATGACCACTTTTATCTTTTTTCTTCTCCTTGTCCTTGTCTTTGCTTCGATCTTTATGCCGATGTTTATGCTTCTTGTGCTCTTTATCCTTGTCTTTGTCTCTGTCCTTGTCCTTGTGCTTTTTATGCTTCTTCTCCTTGTCTTTAGATTCTCCTTTAGATTTCCCAGCAACGGTAGGACTACCCTTCTCAGACTACAAATTGTTATAATATTACATAGAACTTCTTTCTTATCAGCACAATTTATATTTCATAGTAGCCAAAAAATATAGCAAGGGCAGTGTTTACGAACTCACTGGAGGAAGAAAAACAGGAGCTGTTTCCCTCAGTTGAAAAGCTTCCCGAAGGACATCTAAGTCAAAAGGTTGTATACGTGATCTAGTTTCCCTTGATATAGATGTATCTTGAATAAGCTGGCCTAATTGCATTTCTTCTCCTTTTCTGATATCAGTGTCCCCAACCACATTGTGAAGGTAGTGAGCGTCTGATACTGAAACAGGAAGTGGTCTCTTGCAGAAGAAATCATAGTGCGGCAACAACTTGTATTGACTTATAAGATCTACAGCACCTGTAAGTTCTCTTGGCCCTAATTTCAAGGATGTGATAGAAAGTCAATTCTATAAACCAGAACTAAACATGGACTGCAAAAAAACATAAGCAAAAACCAAACTCATCTTTCCTTGAAAATTTAATGTATCTATAATTATCTGCAAATATCTCACCTTTTCTGATACCTGCTAGAATGAAGGAGACAAGAAGAAACTATGAATTTCTGGAGTCCAATGTTTAGTAATGCCCGATAACATGTTAGATAACCTCACTCTAGGAAAAAAGTAATACTAGATCACAATATAAACTGGCCAACAATAATAATGCAGCAAGATCCACATTAAGGATCATTACCTCTTCCAAACTTCTTGTTATCAGAATCCATCAATCAGCTTCTGATATCAAAGTATCTCATTACTGCCACCACATTCAACTGAAAAAAAAAAAACAAAAAGAGTAATTAACTTCCAAACTCGATTTTATTTCCATACCTCTGCCAATTTAAAAGTAATGATACCATCAAGAGTAAAAAAGCAAAAACTACGACACATTAAGTCAACAAATTTATTGTAAGAAAACCCAACACCTGGAGAGTCCCTAAAAATCTGATCACATGAGACATTAGTTGGATACTTGTATGTGCATTAAAAGAGAAGGTGTGGTTCACAAATCACAATGTAAAAAGAGTGTGATCAGAAGAGTAAAAAGTACAACATGGAGTCAAAATTCTAAAGATTCCAAAAGTTTCTGCACATAGCTTGGCCTAACATTCAAATTTGGTGGATTGTGTGCGTAGCAAAAGAAAATAACAAATTATTGAAGCAATTTTTTTCTCAGAACTTGTCCCTCTTCCAATAGTTTAATGAGTTATAACTTATAACTTGTACCGGTAACAGCTTACGAACAAGAAGCCTTGGCATTCTACTAAAACTTTAATATACTGCATTGGACATATTGGAGTAAAATGTCGGTATCCGAGGTTACTTGTAGGTGTTAAATAGTGATATCAAGTGATCATCCTACTATACAAAATAATGAAACTGCTTATAGATACTTAATTATAAATTGAGGCATACAAACCCCCATCTGTCAGAAGCATGACTTAAGACTTGGTTATATTGGGCTCTAAAATAACAGACACTACACCCCCGTCACACCGTATCCTTGCAAGAACATCAGCAGAGTTATATTAAGAAAGCTGAGATAGAGGATCGATTATCTTATATATTACAGAGCTTTTTTAATTGAAAAAAGTAAAAACTACTTCAAGGTCAGTAGCAGCAATCACGTTTTATTGTTATAATATTTTACGTTTTCATTGAATGCGTAAGGATCATGTGTCGCATTAGAAGTAATGTCTGTTTTACAGTTAAATTTCATCTCAGTTTCAAGACCATGTATCATTATTGTTCGTTGATGAAATTACGAACCTCTGAAAAGGTAACAATTAACAATAATTCTTTTTCATTCAATAAGTGAGCTCGTTCTGTGAATTTCATATCCCTTATCTGGAAATGCTGCATTTATACCATTGCTACAATTCTCTCAATCCTACTATAATACAAAATTATGATTTACAACTCATTAATGCGACAAGAAGATCAAGAGGATAAATCATGGTCAAATACTATTCATAGCATCTTCATAACGGGAATATTTCCAACAACCCCATTTTCTTTTAAGAAAAAACACTCTAGTATTTTACACTTAACTGTGTCCATTGAATGGAGCTGGAAGAGTCATTGTTGAAAATTCTCCTGGCATTGTGCTAATAATGGACTAGATCAAAATGACTCAATCAAATTCTAGTGCTTCTTCTATTAGTGAAGTTTCTAGAAAAAAAAATATATATATATCAAACGGCGCAATGCACCTTGGGTCGCTACGGAAACAGCCTCCTTGTATAATTACAAGGGTAAGGTCTGCGTACAACTGACCCCCCAGACCCCAACCTGTTGGGAATATACTGGGTATGTTGTTGTTGTTGCTGTTGTTATTTTACACTCAACCAGAGAAACAATATCCAAGCCAAAAACTCATCCACGTAGTTAATCTCAACTTGTTTGAGACGTAACCAATATCATTATTAAATAGACAGATGTACAGTCTGCCACAAACAAGTGAACTAGTCCATCTTGTCATGGATTCCATACCAACAACTACCATTGTCAATAACTACCGTGAAAATCATTAATCAATGGAAATACCTAGCCTAAACTATTCAGATGCTTAACCAAGCTAAAAAAAGATCATGGAGAGATAAACTTTCCAATATAATTCAAAAGATAACTAACAAACAAACATACCGCACAGGCCTTTTTCTGTAGCGATAAACCTAACACGGTTAAAGCTTCAGATCAACTAAGACAATTTCGAAAAGAAATTCAGTAGCAGCCCTAGATCATTCAACACACGGCCGAATCACAAAGAACTAAGTTAAAGATGAACTATCAGACAAAATCGCACTACCCAACAGGATCTACAATGAACCGAAATGATTAAAACCCTAGTCGTCAATGTTTCAGAAAATGAGAATTCATTTGAAGTAACCGTAACCCTAAATTAACGAACCCATATTCAGTTACACTGAACAGAGAAATAAATTACCGGACACAGCGAAGCCACTCCCAATTCCAGACACCCAAATAACAGTCTCGCCGTCACCGAGCAACCGAATTCGGGGAATTTTTTTTCCAGTCAGGTTTTTGAATACCGCCGGTGAATAAACCCGGCGTCTGCAACTATTTTCCGGTCAAATTCAGGCTTGGAAGCAATGCATGGAATCAGAAAGGCGAAGAACTGTACGGTCGAGCTGCTTGAAAATCTCGTCACATGGAGGGAAAATTTGAGGCTAAGAAAATCAATCTATATATATATAATTACTAGCTAATAGAATTTAATAAAACCTATTTAATTTTACCTATGTGGCAATTTAACAATTTTTCCTCCAAAAACCGTTACATTTTGATGTATTTAATCTTTCATTTAATCATTAAATAATTAATACTCATCACTTCAAAATTACAAAAATCATTTTAAACTTTTGATTAATGACAGTTGACCATATAATGTGTTGACCGTACAATGTGATTAGATGTTATTATTGTTGTTACATTTAATTTTTTTTTTTTTGAAAATAAAAAATATATTTGAAATTCCTAAATAAATAATAAATAATTCACAAATAAAAGACATACCAAAATATACATTACATCCAATCAGATAAACGCAATTTTAAAAAAAAAATATTCCAACTCTTTTAATTGTAAATTTGGTCTGCAAAAAAGTGAAAGAAAAATAATTAATCATTATATGTACAGACTCACAATAATTTATTTATATCTGTGCAAATGCACAGGTCGAATACTAGTATATATAATTGTAGGGTATTACATTAATGCAATAGCTTACTTTTTCCCGCCCATATTTTTGAGCTATTTATAGTATGTTTCAACTTTCAACTTCTATTTTATTTATAGTTACATCTACTGATTTGTAATTAATTTTTTAGTTTATATTTAATAAAGTTGTAATGGTTGTCTTAAAAATTAGTATAATTGCACTATTTGTTAATTTGGTAAGTAATATTACATATTTTATGTAAGCATTACAATAATATATCCTTTCTTTTAGTAACTAGTATGAGTCCCGTGCACTGCACGGGTAAAAGATATTCATTAATATTTATAAATTAAAATTTTTTTATAAAGTAATATTTGTAAATTAAAAATATAGAATCAAATACCTATATTAATTTGTTGAAAATATTATATAAAGTTTAAATTGTGAGAAATTACGTAAAAATGTCTATTTAAAATTAGTACACAACCCATGGATACATATAACTGATAATAAATTACATTATATTCGTTTCAAAATAAGTGTCATTTCAAATTTTTTATTCAGAAATTCGATTTGACTATAATGTGATTACATAAAACAATTATTTTGGTAAAATTTTATCATATATTTAACAACATATGTGAATAATAATTATAAATATAAAATTTATATTGTTTCATTACTTAAAATAATTTATTTTTGTATAAACTATTCAAATAAAAAAAATTAAGTAGTTGAGTAATTTATTGAACTATAAATAATTGACTATTTCATTCACGTCCAAGTTAATATTGACCCGTAAGTTATGAATAATTGTTTTTTTTAATTTTAAATAAAAATATTTTTATTTTTTTATATATTATATACCAAATTTAAATTATGCAACTAATAAAGGTAATAGCTGCAAGTTTTGTCAATATATTATATTTCACATTTAAATTATTCAACAAATAAAGGTAATAGCCGCAACATTTGACCAAATTAATTTTGTACATTAATTACATTTACTTAGGCAGAATTTTTCAAACTTTGGCAAGAAAAAAGAATTGCCCAATTTAGTAATTCTGAATTTTTAGGCGAGAAAACCAAATATTTTTTTATTGATTTTTAGTTACTATTTCAAGTAAATATCATTGTCTTTTTATATATTAATAGATGTCATATTTTTGTAGCGTGCTATGCCACGGGATTTCACGATTTGTTGATTATTAGATATTTAATGATAAATTGTTTGAATCAAATAATTTGTTGACATTAACGTGAAAAAAAATATTATTTAGTAGTAAACTTAAATTTATATCATTCATGATATTAAATATTCAATATTTGATTTTATGTTTATATTAAGTACATATTACTTAGGTCACATAATTTCATAATTTTTAATTACTTATTTTGATTAATAATCAAATAATTTATTCCTTTTTCTTTTGAAAATCTAAGGACTCTTTTTTTTTCTCCCCCAACGAAATGAAATGAGTCTAAAATAATATATAATTGGATGTGATTTACTTGCCAAATATTGGATGTGATTAATTGGTTAATAAATTGTTTAAGCGGGACATGCAAAAAATTTCAAAAATATTTGCTGAAAATTGTTCAAAACGAAAAACAGAAGCGGGAAAGAATGACTAAAGAAGCGGGAAATGAAATATTTTTCTCAAAGTTTTTCAAATAGTTTTTCTTCTCCTTATTATATAGTAATAGATTAGTACATTAACTTTGATTTTTAAAAAATTATTAGAAGTTAAGTAATACATAGATTTGAATTTGCCTTAGAAATAAATTTATAAAAATAAATCATAATCATATTTATTATTTTGTGCTTTCATTTTTAGGAATTCCATTATTAATTCATAAAAAATCCTACATATTTTTTTCTACAGTCATTTTAATAATGTAAATTAATGTTAGTTTAATTAACATATGTTTTTTTTTTCAATTATTATTCAAAATTAAATTTTTAAATGTTGTAACATAGATAAATTTTATACATTAGTCTACTGAGATGCAATGGTTCTTTATTTTACCTTCATATTTGTGAAATAAAAATCATTCTAATTAATGTGTAATAAGAGATTGTGGTATTTAG